TTATGGACAAAGTCTGAAATAAAGTTACCCTGGCTGAATTTAATCACAACGACTATTTCATATCAGACCATAAAACTTCTAGAGAAATACAAATAAAATGAATCCTCCCTGTGGATATACTTGTGACCATAGAGACAATGCGGATGGTTTTAGGAAACAGTTCACCATGCAGTCGATCTTAAGTCCCATGTGTAGGGAGATGTGCGATAGTGAGACTATCGTGAAGGAACGTAATGTTAAGATACCTGCTAAAAAGGTGGCTCAGATTATTAAAAGAATGCAGCATGGAAAGTCCCAGGGTCACAATGGTCTCAGTATTGAATATTTTAAATACGCAGGGATGCATTTATGCATGTGTTTTACCCAGTGTATAGGTCACTCTTATTTACCCGAGGGGCCGATGCCCAGGCGAGGATGGAATTACAGCGGAGCTTCTGAAAGCGGGTAGAACACCGGTACTTGAAGTCCTTCAGAAGCTCTTCAACTCCGTCCTCTATGGTGGCACTACTCCAGAGGCGTGGAGCAGAAGTGCGGTGATCTTGTTCTTTAAGAAAGGCGACAACGCTCTCTTGAAGAACTACAGACCGATTTCCCTTCTGAGCCGCGTCTACGTGCTGTTTTCGAGAGTCATTACGAATCGTCTCGCACGCAGACTCGACGACTTCCAGCCTCTCGAACAAGCCGGTTTCCGAAAAGGCTTCAGTACCATAAACCACATACATACCCCGCGGCAGATTGTACAGAAGACCGAAGAGTACAATAGGCCACTTTGCCTGGCGTATGTGGACTATGAGAAAGCCTTTGATTCTGTCGAAATTTGGGCGGTGCTACAGTCCCTTCAGCGGTGCGATGTCGACTGTCGGTATATCGAAGTGCTGAAGTGTTTGTACAGTAGGGCTACGATGGGTATCCGAGTACAGAACCAGAGTTCGAAACCTATCCAACTGCAGAGAGGTGTAAGACAGGGTGACGTTATATGTCCGAAACTCTTCACCGCTGCATTGGAAGACGTTTTCAAGCTACTGGACTGGAAAGGATACGGTATTAACATCAATAGCGAGTACATCACTCACCTTTGGTTTGCTGACGATATAGTCCTTATGGCAGAATCGCTGGAGGACTTAAGCACTATGCTCAATGACCTCAATAGTGCCTCCCAACGAATAGGTCTTAAGATGAACATGGACAAAACAAAGATCATGTTTAATGTCCATGTCACACCTATGCCAATAGTTGTTGGGAGCACTATGCTCGAAGTTGTTGACGAGTACGTTTACCTGGGACAAATAGTCCGACTAGGTAAGTCTAACTTCGACCGAGAGGTCAATAGACGGATTCAACTCGGCTGGGCAGCGTTCGGGAAATTACGACATATCTTCTCGTCATATATACCTCAATCTCTAAAAACTAGATTGTACAACCAGTGCGTGTTGCCAGTGATGACTTACGGATCTGAGATGTGGTCCTTCACTGCTGGCCGTATGAGGATGCTCAAGGTCGCTCAGCGAGCTATGGAGAGGGCTATGGGAATAGGGAATATAGGGAAATGATATCCGCAGTAAAACCAGAGTGACCGACATAGCCCAACGGATTAGTAAGCTGAAGTGGCAATGGGCCGGCCATATAGCTCGAAGAACCGATAACCGATGGGGAAGAAAGGTACTCGAGTGGCAGCCTCGTACCGGTAGGCGTAGTGCAGGGCGACCCCCCACTAGATGGAGTGACGACCTGGTAAGATATGCAGGAAGTCGATGGATGCAGGTGGCTCAGGACCGTGCTTTGTGGCATTACTTGGGGAAGGCCTATGTTCAGCAGTGGACTTGTGAAGGGCTGTAATGATGATGATGATGATGATGATGATGCGAACAGTAGTGGTATCGATTATCAAAAAAAAGACAGGTGATCCATCTGATATCTGCAGCTACATAATCTCATGCGTTCATTTGCGAGCGGCTTCCGGTATGTGTAGTTTTCGATCTACGAGACTGTATTTCAGAGCGAGCTCCTGGTGCAGAATCCTGGCCACTAGATTGTGTCTGTGTAAGTGCACAGTTAGAAAGAGCCAAACAACCGGAGATAACACGTCTAAGTGATTCATCAGGATGGCGACAAGCTCGACTGATGTCGGCGGTGTCATCCTTTAGGATGTATCTCCGATAGTTGTTGATCCTGTATCGTTATTTATTATTTTATAATATTAAAATATTATGTTCGGAGTATGTTGCATTACTTGAGGGGGATGTCTATTGTGTTGGACTTGTGAAGAGCTGTAATAATGATGATAATTATTTAGTATAATAATAATGATGTCCTCCAGACTCAAATTCGGTTACGGCGGCCGGACTCTTTGGCGACTAGCCTTCTACCTAGTACACGATAATAGTGCCCGATTGTGTGTGTAAGCGTGGGTGTACTCGCTATTCGCTCACTCTCATATTCTGACGTGACGTAAATACGTCACAAAAGGAAAAAGACGCAAGGAGATCGGAAGAAACGTTGACATCAGCCAGTATCAAGCAAATGTGTCATTGATTTATTAATAACTTGTTACCTCCATTGTTTGGTTATTGGTAATATGGTGACGGCGTAAAAGAGTCCGTCACCCCATTCCGTTCCATGGATGTCGTACAAGGTGACAGACTTGGATTACCCAGAACGCAGATGCGCGACGGAGTGCTGTGTCATCGATAACCGTCTAGTATTGCAATCACGAATTCAATTTTAGAGTACTAAGTCTGATAGCTTAGTTAAAGCCAACTGACTAACAGAACTAACATCACGGAACAAAGGCTGTCTAAAGTAGAGATTGTGTCAAACTAGGGAGGATTTGCCGCTATCGCTAGAGGAGCGTAGGGTCATGTCATAAGACGTCTGGTTTAGTGAGAGCCAATTAGACTTTATAACTCTGAGTTTGACAAAGTTGTGAAAGCCAACTGGCTAACAGTACTAACATCACAGGAAATAGGGTATCAAACATTTGATTTTTGGCAAATTCTCCCTACAAGCAATGAGCAGCAAATGGAGAAGATGAGATATTACTTCATAAAGTTTGACTTACAAACTCACAAACTACAAGGCGTTTATCCGAAACAGTTTTTGTTTTAATTAAACGCGAATCGAACGTGAAAGTTGAGCTCGACGTTTCTATCAGACCGCGATCGGACTGCCCTGTCAAACAAATACGATACAAATTAAGCGTTTTATAATGAAAAGAAGGTTTATATTTTGGTATTCAAATTTACATTGATCTACATTCTTTATAAGGTTTGACTTACAAAGCACAAAGCGTATTTTATCCGTTCGTATAATATTTGTTTTGATTAAACGCAAAATGAACGTGAAAATTCAGCTCAAAGTTTCTATCTGTAAATTTGCATAAAATTGGCAAACTACCATTCCATGTTCTGGACGTATTATTAATTAAGTCAATTTGCAACAATTAAATAAATTACATTGCTTAAAAATTATGGGTCCGTTAATAATTATTATAGTTATTCTTATTAACCAGGCGCTTACTGTCACAAATCCCTCGTGCTCTCTGAAACAAAGACTTACCCACGGTGGTTATCTGTGAAGGATTGTGGTGATAATCACGGTTTAAATATCTTATATATTATATTATTAAATATAAATAGCTTTCAATCAGTGTTTCCTTTATACACTATTCAATTTCAATTTGAAAGTGAACGTAAGTAGGACGAAAGTTATGGTTTTAGAAAAAGATATGTGAAATAAGAATAGAAGTGGAGCTGATCGAGCAAGTGGATGAGTTTGTACATTTAGGATGCGTATTTAGCAGGGATGGGAGATGTGATAAGGGTTATAGAACGACGAGTGAACGCAGGAAATGGAGTAAATGGAGCTCTACACTCTATTGTGGAAAGTCAGAATGTATCAAAAAAAGTACGTATGGCAATTCACAATGCTGTGTTAGTCCCTACTTTAACGTATGGTTGTGAAAGTTGGGTGTGGCAGGAGAAGGACGTGAGTAGAATAAAGGCAGTAGAAATGCGGCCCTTAAGGAGTATGTTAGGCCTGAATCTGAGTGACAGGGTGAGAAATTGAGTGATAATAGAAGATGTGGTGTGCAAGACGATGTAGTGACCAAGATTAAGAAAGGAATGCTTCCGTGGTCTGGTTATTTAAAAATAATGAACGAGGAAAGAGTGACAATGCAAATTTATGTTTCAGAAGTGAATGGCAGACTCGAAAAGGGACGTCCTAGGCGAAAGTTTGTCGACCAAATTGGGAGTGGTTAACCGACGAGCATGAGAGAGGTGTGTCAGGATCGTGCCAAATGGAAGTCAGTAGTGTCTGCCTACCCCTCTGGGTGAAAGGCGTGAATGTTTTATGTTATGTTATGTTACTAGTAAATTTCCTTAGTCAAGTCTTTCCTTCTTGTAAATAGTAAAAATATGTATATTCTCTCTCTCTTCTTGGCTAAGTGTCCCACATGGTGGTGGGGGCAGCCTTTCTTGTCTTACGCCTCCACTTCGCTCTATCCTCGACTTCATTTTCGGAGACTTCGCACTCTCTCATGTCCTTTACCACTACATCTTTCCATCGTGTTTTGGGTCTGCCCCTGGATCTTCGACCTGGGATGGAAAGTTGTAGTGCCAAGTTCCCTACGTAGTCGGGTGGCCTCCTCTTCACGTGCCCATACCATCGTAGCCTACTTTCCTGCATCTTGTCAGCGATATCGCGCACGCCCAAGCTTCCTCGCACGTACTCGTTGCGGATTTTGTCGAGCTTGGTAACGCCGCACATCCACCTCAGAATCTTCATCTCGGCAACTTGCATGGTATGCACATTCTTTTGAGTTACGGCCCATGTTTCACTGCCATATAATAGGACTGGTCTGATGATGGTCTTATAGATTAAACCTTTAAGTTTGACCGGCATTATCCTATCGCACGTGACACCAGTCACTTCTCGCCACTTTAGCCACGCTGCGGCTATTCGGTGCTGAATGTTAATTTCCAAGTCCCCAGAACCGCTCATCATACTACCCAGATACTTGTATTGATCACACGATTTGACCAATTGTCCATCGATGGAAATCGGACTGTTGTTTGTATCTGGGTCGTTGAAGGACATGAACTGAGTCTTTTAGTGTGACTGAGGTTTGTTTGGTGAGTTTTGGTGTGACTGAGGAGCTTGATTCCGCGGTAGATGTTGCACTCGTACTTACTACCTTTTCCCTTGTAGATGGGAACTATAGTGCTCAATCTCCACGCCTTTGGCATTTTTGAAGAGAACAACATACTAAGTATGTTGTTCTCTTCAAAAATGCCAAATAAGTAAGTAAGACCTAAGCATTTCCAAGCTTCCACTGGTATTCCGTCAGGTCCAATGGCTTTCTTGTTGGACATTTTGTGTAGGGCTTTCTTTACCTCATCAGGATATATTGGAGGTATAAGTCCTGCATTCCAATCCAGGAAGTTGTAAGGCAGCTAGATGGGGTCGGGATAGTAGCTGTTCGTAGTAATGATGCCAAGCTGTTATGACATCATTGTCTTTATATAACAAGTCGCCATTTGGACCTTTGACAGTTTTACACCTGGCCGGATGCTTTGTGCTTTGACAGCGCTGTTTTGCTAGCTTATATATACACTTTTGGCCTTCTTTTGTGTTTAACTTACTATAAAGCGTTTTCTGGGACTGCGCACGTTCTATGGCTATAACTTTCTTGGTAACTTTTTTAACTTCTTTGTACTTTTCCCGATCTTCTGAGGTTAAAGTGGACTGCCAGGTCTTAAAAGCATCTTTCTTTTCCCGTATTGCATCTTGCACCTTCTCTGTCCACCACCACGTCTCTCTGTCGGAATTTTTACCGCTTTTTGTACGACCAAGAATGTTGTTTGCAGTAGTTATAATGGACTTACGTAAATGTTCCCATATGGTGTCAATATCTGATGTAACATCAACCTTTAAATCAGCAAGACGTTCACAGAACTCGGGAATTTTCTCACCTTTTTGGTTCCACCATTTGGTGAGTTCAGGAATTTGAGTTAGTTTTTCCTTGGGATGTCGTTTGAATAGCACGTCCATTACAACAATACGGTGTTGGGGGGCGACGCATTCTCCCGGAATAACCTTACAATTTGTTACACGGCCAATGTGAGCTCGGTTGATTAGTATCTAGTCAATCTGTGAAGATGTTTGGCCGCTTTTATACGTGATCAGATGTTCGATCTTTTTAGCGAAAAAGGAATTGGCAATAGCAAGATCGAAGGCTGCTGCCGTGGAGAGAATGACTTTACCAGCATCGTTTAGTGTTCCGTATGCGTAACCTCCGTGCACCCTTTTGAAAGCGCTGTTTGCTTCTTCGATGTGGCCGTTTAAATCACCTCCCAGTAAAGTAGTTTCTTTAGGAGATATTAATTGAAGAATGTATTCTAGAGAAGTCCAAAAATTGTCTTTCTCTGCTTGGCTACAACCCACTTGGGGAGCATATGCAGCTACAATATTTAGTACCTCACCTTCCACCAGTACCTTTATTGACATGAGTCTGTCGTTAATACGGTTGACCTCCAGGATGTTTTCAAGATGATCTTCTTTGACAGCAATTGCTACGCCATTCCTACCATGCTTTGCACCTACGTACATAAGTTTGTAGCCCTCTCCGATATTACGGGCTTTGGATCCAGTCCATCGAGTCTCTTGTAGACATATAAAATCTACCCTTTTGCGCTTGAAAAGAGAGGCAAGTTCCTTAGTCTTCCCCGTTAATGTTCCTACATTTAAGGTAGCGAAGCGGACTTTTAGGTTACGATTTGGGACTAACGTCGTTAGCCGAGCCCGTCCTTGACTCGGTAGCCCTAGCATACTACTCGCAGATTTAGGGCGATGTGTCTGCGCGTCGTTTCGCGTCGACGCCCTATCCGTGAGACTCAATGCATTACGTAACCTTTCCATGTTTCTTTTCTAAAGATTTGGCTTTTGGGGTTTATTAGTCTATTGCCGATTGCCATCTGACGCAAAAACACGTACCCGCTCAAGGTAGGGAAACCCGTTATGGAGGTGTTGTATCCAGTATACAGGGTATTTCTGCCTGTATGAAGCGTTGTCTGGTTATCCCGCCAGACGTCGGTCGCCAGAGCCCCGTCCGTAGGTCAGCAGAGTGTACCACGTGCAGGTGGGGTTGGCGTTTGGTCTGGTAAAGGTGTTGTTTCCAGCCCCTTACACTCCTTACACTAGTAAAAATATGTATATTACAATTTGTATACTATATTACAATTTTACCAATGTGTGGTGGTGGCGTACGAGAAACAGAGAATATATTTTAGCGAGGATTTGTCCCGAGGTTATTGTAAGAGATGACTATGGGATTTTATAGCTTGTATATTTTATATAAATGGCAGTATGATCATTCGTATACCCAGAAAACCAATGCAATCTGCATGACAAGCCTAACGAGTAGGTCAAATTATCCCAATTTTCTACAAGAGACCCTGCATCAGACCCTGAAATTTACATGACCAGCAGTAAATTTCAGGGTCTGATGCAGAAACTTTTAAAAATAAAGAAGAAAAAAGAGACGTAAAATTAAACTAAATTTTGTGAATCTATGAAATAATTAATAAAATGGTAATACAATTAATAAAATGGTAAAATACGATGAAAATACTGATAAAGTATTTTGACAAAATTTTAGCGGCGAGTAACTTTAAAAAGTCTACGTCATGACTGCGAGCTAAGTTCTTTTTCATACCCACTCAACCCTGACTTCGCTGTGTGAAATATTAACTTGTGACGCCTGTGTGTTGCGAGAGTTTTTAAATTACCTCACGTGCGTCTAAGGTACACGAGCTCGACTCGAGAAATTAGTTTTTTATTGTACGTTTTCTACTGTTTTAGTGTAAACAAACTACTTAGTAGCTATATAGTACTTAGTAGATACATCATTATGAAATTAATTACAGAGAAATTCGTTTTCTGTCGTACACTTTCTACCGCACTAGTATAACTAATATAACTAGTATAACATAGCACTTAGGTACATGATAATAATGTTACAGACACATCATAATAAAAGTTATTACATTAACCGATATATCTAATAAAGGGACAAATAATACAGGAACGTTATACCAATCTCGTTAAAGCCCGGCGACAGGAAACTACGATTGTCAACTTGTCTGTCAAGTGTGACGTTTAAACAAAAGCACTCTGCAATGGGAGAAGCTAATGTTCTAGACATTCATCAGTTCAGACAGCCTTTCTCATTGTAGATGTAAGATGAAGATTTAATTAAAATATAAATAGTAGTTTTTTTCGCCGAATAAAATAATTCAAATCAACTGGGTAGATAGTAATTACAATGAACTTATTAAATTTTGATACTTCATATTTAAAATTTGTAAATAAAACTAAAATTAACAAGATGCAATAAACAAAAAAATTTCTAATAAAGTATTAGTTATGGTTTAATATCAACTATACTTGCAACAGCTTTCATGAAACAGAAGCAAACGTAGTTAGTCTCCGAGTTGAGTGTGCTTGTCAACAAACTTTTACATGAGGGTGTGCCTAAAAGTAAGCATACATACGAGGGCAATATTTGATTCAATTATATTATTTGATAGTACTGATGTTTCAGCACAGGTTTTACTATTGTAAGCGTCAGCTGTAATACTGCTGTGTAGAATAAGTAAACATTTTGTATTTACTGTTTAAGGACTTTGTATGGTGTATAAATAAATATAAAGGCACGTCGTTCACTCCAGGAGGGTTTTACATCGTAACGTGGGTCAACGGGCAAGGAGATGATCTAAAAACAAAATAGTGGTTTAGTACCCAATATGATATAATTCGAAAATAGAATAATCAAAATTAAAAAAAGATGGCCGCGATGTACTTTGATTAAAACTATGACGTCCACCGAACACGTGGATGCATGCGCTCCGTTCGACGCTACTCTATGGTTCAACGGTTCACGACACCACTGCCTTCTGCCTTCCCTTCGATGAAGTCCTTTACAAGATGGCCGCCTTTCCAGTGTCCGGTGTTACGTCAGAGATAAAGCTCTGTTTCGTTCCGAAATTGATTGATGGGCCATAGACAAGGTTGAACGGGCGAAGTTTGTGGTTTTATGGTGCCGTTTTTCTTGAACCGTTAAATATTATTTTTGTTGACATATTATACAACACTATCACTGTGACAATTTTTATAAACAGCCACGATCTAACAGAATACTACTATATTTCTTATGGTAAGTGTAGAGAACCGGACACCCTTTTTACTGGAGACGAGGCATTCCATCCTACTCCTCGGGGGTGACGAGGATCTGCATTTTGATTTTTAATCGAGGATATAGAAGTCTATGGCCACACCATCCACTTACCATTAGACGGACTGTGTGTTCATTTGTCACCATTATTCTATAAAAATTATATATTGTGACTCACTATTGAACATAGGCCTCCTTACATTTATGAAAGGAGTTATGGAGCACGAATTAACCTCACTAAGACAATGGCGGTTAGATAAATCATTTGCACATTAAGTAAAACCGAACCAAAGACATATCGTTCACAAATGTACTGATAACATCATTCATCGTCATCAATGCCATCGCCATCATAATTACCCGTCTCCCTTTTGTATAGCTCACGGCCTTTCGGATTTGAGCCCTGCGTTCGGTGAATCTGTAAAACCCATCTGACTAGCAGAAACTTCACAAATATCACAGAAAGTCGGAAAGTTGAAGTATACAGTGGTGAACTTTACAAGTTATTCTAAGATATTTTTAATCTCCCTGACGTGCAGGTACAAGGCAGATGGAAACCAACACTTAAACTTCGACACACTACGATGTGAGGTTGTTTCATTAGGTAGTTACTCTACATTTACATTTAAGACGAGCTCCGGTCCCTCGACTATGGTGACTCTACCGTGTCTCTTCAAATAATTACTATTAGAAGTTTACTTGCAGAGGTTATACTCGTAATATAAGTAGCTCTTAGTTAGCCCGTAATAGTCTCATATGATGATGATAATCTCCCTAACGGGGTTGCAAGGCAGATGGAAATCAACACTTAAACTTCGACACACTACGATGTGAGGTTGTTCCCTTAGGTATTTACTCTACATTTACATTTAAGACGAACTCCGGTCCCTCGACTATGGTGACTCTACCGTGTCTCTTCTGATAATTACTATCAGAAGTTTGCTTGCAGAGGTTATTATACATGTAATATAAGTAGCTCTTAGTTAGCCCGTAATAGTTTCATGATGATGATGATAATCTCCCTGACAGGCAGGTGCAAGGTAGATGGAAACCAACACTTAAACTTCGACACACTACTGTAGCGGCGCTGTTGTCGCCGCCACAAGCGAAAACACACCGACGTACAGTATATATAGAACATCTCCGAACTATCACACAATGCGCCCTCCTTTCTACCAAGGAGGGTCGCGTTCGTATACGGCTTAGAGATCTCTAGACAGATCGTTAAGCCATTTCCTAAAAGGCGGTGTTTAGTGGGTAAAAGTCTCCACATAACCACGCAGCCGGCTGCGTGGTATGCTATGAGCATTCACCGCCTCCCTCCCCCGCTTTCCGGAGGGTTGCCCATATTTGCTTCGGGCGCAAAAAAAAAACTATCACACGGAGTGTTGGCCGCTCCCCGGGCAGAACACCTTGCCCGGCGGGAGATCTCCCCTTTTCCCTACCACGGCCACAGTGGTGACCCCGACGTGATTTGAACACGCAACCAAAACAACCTTCGGAAACTTCAAGCTTCATCATCCTCATAGAATACCCCACCCATTCGCTCCCGAGCAGATATCGTCTGCAGTCTTCATATCCTGCAAGCCATCTAGCTTCACAAGGTTCATCGCAGCACTGGAATAATAATGCTTCCTGTTCCTTCAAGCTACTCTCTGCGCCATACAGTGTTCGGCACGGCTCTGAGCCTTACTGCTCGCCTCTGCTTCATGGCACTCTCGCAGATTACTTGCCTTCCTCTCGACTCACCGCAGACTACAAGGCAATCTCCTGGCACTTGCACATTTGTCGACAACTCGACTGCACTATCGACCTCCGGTCTGAGCAGGGGGTAATGTAGCGGCGCTGTCGTCGCCGCCACAAGCGAAAACACACCGACGTACAGTATATATAGAACATCTCCGAACTATTACACGGAGTGTTGGCCGCTCCCCGGGCAGAACACCTTGCCCGGCGGGAGATCTCCCCTTTTCCTACCACGGCCACACTACGATGTGAGGTTGTTCCCTTAGGTAGTTACTCTACATTTACATTTAAGACGAGCTCCGGTCCCTCGACTATGGTGACTCTACCGTGTCTCTTCCGATAATTACTATTAGAAGTTTACTTGCAGAGGTTATACTCGTAATATAAGTAGCTCTTAGTTAGCCCGTAATAGTCTCCATTAATGGAAATGAGCCTCTCCCGTTGCATGGAAGATTTGTGTTAATATTCACACTTGGCTAGCGGCACTAGCGGATCGATGATCGTAGTTCCGTCTACTCGTATTTTTGATATTGCTGTTTATATTTCTATTTATTTTCTTATAAGGACATACGAAATAAATGTGTACAATATGGGTATTTCACAAGGCATTCTACATAACCCCACCTTGGATTTCGAATTGAGTATATGCACATGATTATTGGTACAGGTAACGCCACGAGTGATGGAAGTGTGCAGAACTGAAAAATAGGTGTCGGCACGATAAGGTGTGAGGTACGGGGAAGCGAAACCATAGCAACGGGCGACGCGCTACTCCCAAGTAGTTCATAGAGTAGAGTAATATATACAGAAATAGAGAGCCATCTCCTAGGATTTTTTGTCACCCAATACGAATAGTGTCGCCGTCTGGTATCATATCCCTTGAACTAATCTCAATATCATGTTGACTATAGATAGTTGTATGTAGTTATGTATATACGGC